AGGGAAAAATCCTACTATAGATAACGCGCTAAGTGTGTCTGTTGGTTTGTGTGTGTGTGTATGTGTGTATGTGTGTATGTGTGTATGTGTGTATGTGTGTATGGAATTTGATTGGATTTGCAAATTTGGAAAGCAGATTTGAACTAAGCATCCAAAAACACGTCCAGCAGTGTAGGCCTCATTTCAAATGGTCACTTCGACTTGGGATCCTTCCCTGGTTAGATAGCACTTTTTTGAAAAATCTAACAGTATACAATTTAATTGCAGAAATTCGAGCGGCAAGGGGAAGAAGCATAATTTTGTAATTTGAGCGTGACGATAATCGAAGTTTGGGGCCATACCAAGAGAGGACTGTTAATCTTTGATAAGGTGTATCATAATAGCTTCGCAGAACACAAAGTTTAGTCCACAACAGTGGATTGCCTCGCTGCCACTTCTTCATGTTCCGGAGTAAAACTCCTCCAAAAATTGAAAAATGCCAAAAAAATCGACTCCCTATTTTGCCGTAAATCGATGTCATATTCTCAATGTAACCTGTAAGGAGGAGTGTTGAGTGCAGAGACAGTAGATGCACTTATCTACAGCCTCCACATTATAAATGAACGATGGAAAACGCTCCCTCAGTCCGTCTAAAAACTTCTATTCAAACTGCCCCACATTCCCGCCACTACCCCGTCCCCTGCAGATCTTACTCCCCACTGAAGTAATCATTAATCGATCCAACCCCCTTCCCGCCACTTCAGTACCCCACCACCAGCAGATCTAATCCCCCATTCAAATAATTATCATTTGAAAGCTTCCAAATTCCCGCTACTACAGTAATCAGCCGCATGCGTATCAAAACACGCCCTGCAGGAAACCGCTCAGAGACAGGCCTACTGCAGAAAGTGGTTGTGGAGGAAGTTTTCGTCACGGATCGACCTATATATCATTCGATAGGATTTTCAAGGGGAATCTAACAGTGTACAACGCAAACGCAAAAAGACCAACGGAAATGGAAAAAACATTGTTTTATGAACTGGGCTAGACGAAGTTCGAAGTTTGGGGCCATACCAAGGGAGAAATTTTGATTTGTGATAGGGTGTACCATAACAGCCTCGCAGAACACAAAGTTTAGTCTACGACAGGGGAGTGCCTCGCTGCCGCATCCTTAGGTTCCGGAGAAAAATTCCTCCAAAAATTGGAAAATTCCAAAAAAAACGAGCTTGTTATTTTGCCGTAAATTGATGTCATATTCTCAATGGAACCTGCAAAGAGGAGTTTTGAGTGCAGAAACCGTAGATGCACTTATCTACAGCCTTGAAACCAAAAAATTAACAATGGGGACTGAACAAAACAAATAATCATTTTCACATAGTACTGAGTAAAATCGAGTGCGTGGCGCAATCTAAAGCAAATTCTGAACAGATCATCTTCAGGGACCAATGACCTCCTCCAAGCACTGAAGCGTGCACCCCATGTGCGTGCAATAACTTTTCGGATGGAGCTCAAGTGCATGGCGCAGTCCAAAATAAAGCATTTTCAACATTTTAGGGTATCTTCTTGTAGAGCTTGATGGAATGAGTTCGAGGGTATTTTTTTCTCCTCGATTAATTTATTTTGAAGCGACTTATAAAGAAAAGACGAAAAAGACGCGAACTCGCGGTATTATCGCAAACTTTCGAGTTCTTACGGCGAGTACTGTATCTCCTTAACCATGTGGCGTTAGATATGCAGAGCACAGCAAAACAACAACCTCCAATTACATCACATCCCAAGGAATAGGATTCATTTGTACTCTTCATGTGGTGCTAAACATCTATTACATGTATTACTTACTTTTGACAAACTACTCTGTAAACCCGTCTCAAGTAGATATATATCGATAGCTATATGTAGACAGACATAGATAGCGGATCGATCCATCCATCGATACATCCATCGATCGATCGATGGATCGATCGATCGATCGATAGATAGATAGATAGATAGATAGATAGATAGATAGCACCATAAGGAATTCCACCCTGCCGCCTGATATCTTTCGAATTTGAACGCTCTGAGTGGAGAAACAGAAGTCATGACTTTCCGGGGTCCTCTCATTTGTGATGGACTTGGGAGTCGTTTGGTAGACAATCTTTACTATATATAAACCACAAATGTCCGTTTTTCTGTATGTTTGTATGTCTGTTTCACTGTAACTATCTTATCTGTTCCGTTATCTTATACGGCGTCGTTTGGAAATCAAATGGAACAGCTCAGACAGGTTTGAACAAGTGGGGATTGGGGATGAACAAGTGGGAAATGAGCCGAGCTTCTTGGGTACACGTGACCTAAGCTAGGCTCCGCCCACTAGGGGGGGCCTGCGCGAATAGTTTAGTTCACTGTTTGTAACTCCTTTGCTCCTGAGCCTAGAGAATCAAAATTTGGCCGAGATTTAGGTGGCAAGATGGTAAAACTAATGGTAGGTGACAGGTGTAGACTCCGCTCACAGGGGGCGTGGCTTCATCAAAAACAGTCAAGTTGGACCTGGGTCGTTCAAATTTGACAGAGATGCAGGCGGCAAGGTAGAAGATTTAATGGTAGGTGGCAGGTGAGGACTTCACCCGCTGGGGGCGGGGTTTGTGCGAAGTAAATGTCTGAGCGAGAATCCATAACCCCCGATCCCGTGGACATGGAGTAAAAAATCAATAGTAGAGGGGGCAGGAAGGAAAGATTGACGATAAAGGACACCTTAGAGAACAAGTTCCAATCACCAATTGAATCCTAGCGCCTTTGTTAATTACGATCTAGCTTTGATTCTTTGATATGTTCCACTTGACAATAAGGGTAAGTACATTGATAGGGAGCGATTACGAAATTTGGTTCACTTCTTGCTTACGACCGCTACCCAGCGAAGTATGCGATGCAATGAAGCGTCATGGTTTCTCTGCTTTGATATCATTCATGGCAAAACTTATTCGATCGCTAACAATCTTGGATTCTTACTTAATGATGTATCGGTAGATAAAAGGAACTACATTCATAAAGACATTTGACGACGACATTTGTGAGTACCATTCAAGGGTTTGGATGCCTACCACGTGAATCTCCAATGGGTTTATTTTCAAAATCAACAGCGACAGATCGGGACAGACAGATTCTAATAAAGGCCTAGGCATCGGCACTGAATACCGTTGCTTCGTATTTTGAATAGCGTTTGCAGGCCTTATTGTTCCTCTAGGGAGCTTCGTGTTCCGAAAAGTATTATTCGTTCCAGAAAAGGAGCGTGCTGTTTGCCGTTTGTCACGACTCTATGATAAGAAGGAGGGAAGACCGGCATTAGTTGAGCGGTCCCACTGTATCTATATATGAAGCAGTATCTTTGGGTGTCTGTTTGTGGGTCGGTCGTGCGGTGAGGAAGCACTCATATGGGAAATCAATCGATACTGATCATATTGGTCCTCTAACAAGTCGTAGGTAAGCGGTAGTGGGCATGTGGTGCACGCATTAGCGTGCGTAGCCCAACTGGCCTTATAATGAAATGGACTACATCCTTTTCAATACGAGGTTTTGTCCGGTTGGAGTCGCGGTTGCACTAAAGTTCTACACAGGATCGGCCCATCGTTTCCTCTGCGCAATATTCTGTTTCTCAGTGCGTGAACGGAAAGCTATGAAGTTCAGGAAACGAAGCCTTAAGACCATTATCAATTGGGACCACTTCGCTTCTCTTTCCAGTCTCTGGAAAGATTCCGTTATCGAAAACATCAATGAAAAGTACAATCGGCTTATCAAGGCTTTCATGACAGTGCTAGGAACGCAGAGATTCTACAAGTTGCTTAAACAGAAAGGAGTACAGTGTTTTTCGACACTGTACTCCTTTCTGCTTCGACATACGCCTCGGAAACTTGGACCTCATGTTAGCAGGATGAGCATTCAGTCAGCGCCAATCAAGGCGCTGACTGAATGCTGAAAGAACAATGCTCGAAATTCCCGATACTCGGCAGTGCAGAGCAGAGCCCGCAGTTTTGAGTTCATGGACGAAGGAGAATCAGGGAAGCTGCTTACGCCGAGCAGATCAGATCAATCGTGAGACCGGCACGTCATGCGATATTGTGATGACCGTTGGATCAGAGTGGTTGCTGACTAGTTCCCTCTGCACGTCAACGGACTCTGAGAGAAAGGGAGTGCTACGCTTCCTGTCCCTAAAGCGGGGACGACTTATTGAACTTCTGAAGCTCGTCCAGCGACAGGGATTCGCGTAGACGTCACTGGTGTCCGCTTAAGGAAATCGATGGCTAGTGGAACGAAAGATGACACAGATGACGACATAATTTCATGCTACAGAAAATCAAAAATCGATTCCCGCACTACACTCAAAATTTTACGCGTCTCGGGTTTGTTCACAACTTCAAATTCCAAGTGAAACAACCTCAATTTTTTGTAGGCATTGTGTTGTGTGACCTCGGTCTTGTTTATTAGCTGCACGTGGGCTGTCGGTACATATATACTTAAATGTATCGGTCTACTTTCACTGTTCATACATTATTCATATAACGGTGGTTTCGGTTTTTCATATAACGTTGTTTCTCGCATGATTTGGTGGCTAATGTTCGCGCGTAATAGAAAGTGTAAACACCCTCAATTCTTGTAAGTAAGCCCGGTATTTGACGCATGGCTGGTTGCTCTGCAGATGTAGTGAGCTTGCAAATCTGTTGTTCTGCGTTCTACTCGTTTTCGTTATTCCTCTGATAAGGGTTACTTAATATAGAAAGTTTGTGCAAGACGAACCCATTCATTTCTAGCCATAACCTCGGAGCCGTCGGTGGGGTTTTAGAACCCTTTCACTCATTCCGGAAAAATCAAGGTTGAACAAAAATCTTGGCATTTGATTCGAAACTATGAAATAAAATCAAGAAAAAGAACTAAAAATTGTTTGAGACTGAAACTGAGATCAACGCGCGAGCCTACGCCCCTCTCGTTATCTTCCGCAAAACGGAATCGAACGGTGAAGTCTTTTAGTTGAATCAATCCCGGCTCTGGTATGCACCAGCGCACTCGATTTCCATTCAGAATCGTAATGAGGTTAGAATGCGTATGTGACTTGTAGAATGACATGCGGTGGCCAGGCGGTGTAAAGTTCAGTGCTTTTATCCTCCCAGACGAATCTGAAACCGATTGACCGACCTGGAACGACGCGCGGTGCACTGAGCGGGTATCTATCCGGGATGCAATGCCCAGACTACGCATTTGCTTATCTTTCCCTCTTTCGCCTCAATAATGACTTGATAATATGATTTTGGGACAGGCTAAAAAAAAACAAATAATTAATTGAATGTATAAAATTTTAACGGTGGGCATTAGATTAAAGGCACGGTTCACGATAAAAATGGTTACTGAGTTCTTTCTCTAGGAATACTCAGTGGCCTCCAAGGGTAATAGAAAGGACCAACTCACGTCTAAAAACTCGACGGTTAGGGCATAGTGGAAGCCCTGTTCCCGCAGCCTCGCGCGGCCTTCCCGCCCTCGCAGATGTCGCATCAGACGAGTGTCAAGGCGATACAGGTTGCAAATTTTTACTCGAGGACCCACACACAATCAGCTGATCGCCGAGTAATGAGGCGATGTTTCTTTCCTATTCTTTTGTTCTCTGTTATTCTTTTTGCCGTTGCTATCCCTAATTTAATTTTCTTCCCCAAGAGGCTGAGAAAGGTGGGCTATTCTTGTTGTTACTGGGGCTTTTTTGTTAACCTGTGCTTATGAGTAAATGAATTTTTGCTTGCCGTAGTCATTGATTCGCACCAGGACCCACACGTACGCACTGGCACTCATTGTACAGCTCGTCCAAACGTTCATTCTTTTCTTCTTCACTTTTCTTGTCTCACTCTCGCCCAGCCCCTTTAAATGATTTTTTGAAGCCTTTTCCACTTTGAAAACACCGGTTCACGCAGTTTCTTCGTCTTCGTAGCACTATTTTCCACCTTATCTTCTATTTTTCGTAATCTGGATTGCACAAAATTATCGTGAACTGTGCCTTCAAAAGCAAGGTGATGGGAATACGGATCAGCCTCGAGGAACTCTCGAGAGGGCAGTTGTTCACTCATGTATGCGCTAGAAAAGATAGGAAAAAACAATGGCACCGCTTTCACCTTCAAATTATACTTCTTCATTTGTTTCACGCATTGCTCGATAGTGTCGGAAACTCGACCACGTTTGAAGCGCTTCACAAAAACCGCATTTGCCTGTAAACAAACTTTTTGCTCTCGCATGAATGTACAAAGATCCAAAAGGTTGTTCCAACAAACGGAAAACTAAGAAATTCTGGGGCTATTAGCTCACGAAAATACTGGTTAGGTTGAAGAACGGAATATATTTGAGAGACTCCTTCATCATAACTGTGCCACGAGGCGGCCAAACTCGAGTCATTGCCACAACGTCCACAGTACTCTTAACGAGGCCACATGAAACGATGGAAAAATCTAGACTAGGATCATATAACTGCTGAGTAATGCTGAGTAATGCTGAGATGCACAGCGGCAAATAAAAAAAAAATAAAGCAGAAACAAAAACAGTAAATAGAACAGCCAAATAAAAATTGTGATCGTCTTCCTGTATAATTTTACAAGCTTCTCGAACTTACTTGTACTGCTTAACACAAAAGTGACAAGATTTTTTCTAGCAATTATCGACACATACAGGGGACATACTACACGTTTTTGGGTGTGTTGACTTTCCGGAAATCGTGGTGGGCGGTCCTTCACGGAAAATTTCAGGAATGACTACGGCGAAAAACACTTTTCGCTAGTTTTTCACTGTTTTGCTGTACAGGTTTGTTAAGGCAGAAACCGCTTTATTGGTCGACTTTTCGACAAATCGTCGTCTTCAGGACCTGAAAACAGTTCGGCGCTCCTGATCTGTGGCTTACCCGACCAAGCGCCCAAACACGCCAGCCCAGTTGCAACAGCTCCCAGACTCTTGAACACCAAAAAATCCCAACCGCGAAACCAACCTTTTGCGGTTCCACCAACGTTGTCGTCCTACTCAATTTCGTGAACAAACAGGGACCAATGAGATACACCATTGACGTTCGTTGGATAAGAGGTGCGCGGTGTTCTCAAAGCCCACAAAAAGAAATGAACGGCAAANAGAAGCTAATTTCTGCCGTTCATTTCTTTTTGTGAGCTTCATTGGTCCCTGTTTGTTCACGAAATTGAGTGGGACGACAACGTTGGTGAAACCGCAGACGGTTGGTTTCTCGGTTGAGATTTTTTGGTGTTCAAGTTTCTGGGAGCTGTTGCAACTAGGCTGGCGCGTTTGGGTAAGCCACAGAACAAGAGCTCCGAACTGCTTTCAGGTCCTGAAGACGACGATTTGCCGAAACGTCGACCAATAAAGCGGTTTCTGCCTTAACAAACCTGTACGGCAAAACAGTGAAAAACATTGTACAACATGCCCAGGTTACAAGAAGACCGAACATGGAAGTTACTTTTCGCTAGCTTTCCTTCTTCTCATTTATATTTTGCCTTCATCTACAGCAGCCCCTTGCAAATATTGGGAAGATGTTCCTTCCGTTTGGTGTTTGTCCCTCGTCATGTCTCGAGCTCTGGTGATCTTCCCTGTCCCCACTACGCAACACCTCATATGGTCTCTTCGATTCGGGGTTCTGCCCTCTCCATCTCATTGTTTCGCCAATTGCTTCGCCACTGCTCACCTCTGCTACTTGAAGTGAGGACTGAAGATTACGCTCCCTAAAACTTTCTATTTCGTAATGTGTCAAGAAACCTTGGCATTTCTTTCGGTAAGTGACTATAACTTCTTCCGATAAATGACTATAACTCGATATACCTGGTGGTTGCAGATGACAACAGCCGAGCCGGAAAGCTTTTTGAGATTCTCCTCAAACCCACGCACGTCCACATTGATCCCTGTCCAAAGCGTCCAATATTTGAACGTATGGAAGATAAGATCAGCTCCCTGAACGATGAAACATAGGGAAATATGAATTAAATGAAGAGCGTTGTTTCAACAGAAAATAGCATGATAACTGTGGTTGTGATTTTTTTTTTGCTATAGATTTCTCTAAACATTGAAGCTGTAGCTTGACCTCTTATACTAATGCTCAGATTCTGCCTGCTGAATAGTCGAGGTTATAACACAGTGAAAATAGAGAAATGCCTCATATAGATTGTGCTCAAAGGAAATCGGATCGGACTCCATCTTCTGTTTGTCCCAACGCTAATTTCCTTTCAGCGAACTAATAAAGAGGACGAGAGGTGTGAGAGCTAGAGAGTCAAGTTCTGTTCAAAAGAGAAGACTTTGGAGAAAGAGAGCATAGTGTTGAACAGAATAGCTCAGCTTCATGAGAATATTGAGTAAAGATTATAGTTGCACTAGCTCTCTGCTGTTATTCTTGATTTCTATTAGCAATTCCTTCAAGCAAATGCAAATGCAAAAGAGACCAAGTGGTTACTGCTTTTAAAGGTTCTTATCCGCTACTATGACCTTTTTGCAATGAACTTCATTCTCCGTGCCCCGTCATTGTTGGGAACGAGCACCAGATTCTACCACACCGGATCCTCCTGTTCCATTCTTCCCATCTAGAGTACCTTATCAGGCTTTATTTGTTTTTATAGCATGCCGTCACCGACGCTCAATCTCTCTACACTTTGCCAATTTCGTAAATACAGCCAAAGCAAAAAATGAAGTCAGGACGTAATTGGAGGTTGGATACGAGCGGATGATCTTCTTAAGTAGCAATGAACATTTGCTCTGATAATTGAGCTTTAAATAAAGCAGTTCCATGTAAGAGCTACGTATGATCAATACAAATGCTAAATACAATTTTCTAAGGGTGTTAGGTACATACATGGAGCACAGCAGGGCAAGTCGGCGACACATTTAGAAGAAAAAAGGAGTAACGAAATGTCCTCCGCAGACTGGAGGAGAGAGAAAGTGCCACTTTTGCAGATGCAAAAAGAGTATTCACTGAATTAGGAACGTCGTTAGCGTCGTCGCTAATGAACTGGCCTTGGGAAGTTCAAAGAAGGAGCTCGAAATTGAACGTTCAGATTTGTTAAATCGCACCATTTTAGGGCTCCATGAGCTTACTTGAAATATAGAACGTTATGCAAAAAATATACAAAACAGTGAAACTATTTGGTTACAGAAGAGGAAAGGAAAAAAATGCAGATTTGTATTTTTTCTTTTACTTCGAACCATTAGGTGGTTATTATATCGTACTTGATGTGGATTGAAATACTCTAAAGTCGATGAGAACTACAGACAGTCAGCTGAATGCCGAAGAGGACTAGCCTAGATGGGGGTTGTGATTGGATCTGTAACACTGTTGAATGACATACTCCTATGGGCAGAATTCCGACTGCTCATCTAACAGCCTTCTCTTCTTTTCTTCTCTGACGATTCGAGTTGCGCTGCGCCACGGACTTCCTTGTTACAACTGCCCACGAATTCGGGTTCTCTCCCATACGTGCAAATTGCAACCTTTCCCAGCAATCGATAGTCATTGATCCCGTAACCTAGTAGTTTGATGAAGACTAAATTAACCTCCATTCCCATGCCCAACTCATTGAAATTTCTTGTCCAAGAGACCTACTTGACTCTCATTTTGAGCGGAGCAATCTGATCACAGAGCAAAGTTATCAATTGCTTTTGTATGAAAACATCTGCTGCATTTATGGCAAAACTAGAACGGCACAATTCTTTGTAACGCACAACAACATTCGGATGAATGTTGCCCTCACAACTATGTGGAACATTGGCTTCACCTGAAAAGTGACTACAAGGTATGACAAAAAGGTAAAATGAGCCCCAAGTTAGCGACGACTTGCTGGGAACGCCTTCGTGGCAAGTCCTAAAGAGCACTCACTGTCTATAACGACTTCGGGAAACAACAGTTTATGGTTAAAATCAGTGCGAGCCTGAAGATGTTTCCAGAATCTAGCACCCTTCTGATAACAGTACCACGCGAACAGCGGTGATAACCAACATTTAACGAGGCGAAATAAAATATAGCAAAACACTTGAATGAACTCAATCAAAAAGGACTGCTGTGATAAGGGGAAACTCACACTGCCTGCAATCCAGGACGGGATCATTGTGATATTGCACTCGACACCATGAAGAAATATGCATAAATAGAAAAACGAGATCCTCATGATATAATTGCACCATTGGGAGACATTGTAGAGAATGAGGAGCGCCGCACAGCAGATGAACAGCAGCACCGTTATCCAGTCATCCATTTCAAAGACATAGACTGCCACGGTGCCTAGTTACAAAAAAGGAAAACGCTCAATGGCAAGTTATGGTCGACCCACGTCAAAGTCTAATAGATAACAAAGAGTGGACGCAAGCGTAGGAGAGAGAATGAGAACCAGACACAAGAATACTGGCAGTGTCAGTCACAGAAATGTCTTTGTGACCGGTAGCCTGTGTTTGAAGAGTCACTGGAGTTTTTCGTTCAAGCAAGGTTCACGCAACAAAGTTAAAGTACAAAGAGCAAGGTAACTTTCAGTCGTACCTGTGCTCGAAGCACCACGGTACGACTGAAAATATTATTGTAAACCCTTGGAAAGCTTAGAAGAACCCTTAATGGAAGCCGTAATGTTTAACCGAACGCATTCTACCTTCTTCAACCTTATAAGTCCAGGCGAAGATGCGATGAAAACTGGTAATCTCCATCAGACAGGGTAAATTCGATGCCCAATTTTGTTAATACCAATTTCATATCCAACCATGCATAATGCCTTGAAAGTGTAAGCACGTAGTCCAGCTCACAAATCTGATACGGATATTTACTTTTCGGGTTAGACCTAATGACCCAAAAAAACAGGAAAATTCGAAAGTTTTCGCAAGTTTCTGACGCTTTTTGTTTTCATCAGCAAATTTGTACTATACCACTTATGTGAAATCTTTTTTGACCGCCTGATTCCATCCCATCATTGAAAATGCTTCCAGTTCTGCGGTATAGTAACAGTAACGTCAAAATAACGGGTTTAAAGGGTGTTCTTAATGTGCTCATTGTAACACGCACTATGTGTAATTAATCAACATGACATCGGGTCCTAGCAAAAAGGGCAGAAATAAAGAGCACCAAGTAAGTTATGGCAGAAATCCCTTTTGCACAATTTATGAAGTGTGGGTGCATGTGGGCACATGTGTACGTGTGGGTACGTGCGGGTGTTTTGCGTGTTTTGACGAGTTTGACCTTTTCTGTTTGCACCTTTCTTCCACAACAATCTCCTATTTCATAAGATGAGGCTTGAGGAGTTTTTTTTTCTCCAGGAGCTAACCTCGGAGTTTTGAGAAGATGTGTATTTTATTTTTCATTGATCACTTAGTGTGACGAACTTGAGTTTCTTGGCAGTTCAATCACAGATTCAGTCAATTTGCACCAGGCTCGTTTGGGAGCATAAAACCACTGACTTGTACATTTTCTGGCCTGTGCAAGTCATTATAGGTCACCTACGCATTTAATACGCCACTACGGTTCTTGATGGAAATCCATGTATGAGCGCATCCCTCAGACGGGATTGAATAACGCCCAAGACTTCACCCTCTATCCTTCCATCCGAGTAGTCAGTCCAGTAGATTGTGCTCACTTTAGAGACATGGCCTTCTTCCTGTCCGCAGCTGATGTGAAAAAGTTGGGCCATCGCGCAGGCCGTTGTCCTAGTGCTCGTTTGACATTCAGAAGGATTCCCTGAATAAACTATCATCTAAACATCGCATGGCGTGTCCGGCTCTCCCAATCTTCGATTGCTTAGCCTAAACAACGAGTACCCTGATCTTTCTTCGCTGACGCAGCTTGGAAATCCAGACTACCCTCTGCAGTAGCGTGTATTAGAAATTCCGAGCATTGTCCTTTCCGAAGTACGTTGAATGACGCTGATAGCATGGTGGAGTCCAAGACTGCGAGGGGTTCGTCAAAGCAGGAACAACAGCAACGTCGGAAGGTGAGCATGGGGTCGGATCTTCTTTGCCTTCTTCACTACTCCTTCGATGTTCTTGAATTCTCTCCATGACGCGCGCCTCTTCCTGCTCAGCTCCGGAGCTGTGTCGTTCATCATGTTGGATAGAGGGTGAAGTCTTGGGCGTTATTCAATCCCGTCTGAGGGATGCGCTCATACATGGATTTCCATCAGGCTCTTAACGAACAAGGTATCGATCCCCGTTACACGAAAATCTTGAAGGAATGCTACTCAGGATGTGTAACAGTGTTCCGACCGTTCTTCCGCGACCTAGAGGTGACTGTGGAAAAAGGAGTTCGCCAAGGAGACCCTATCTCCCCAAACCTTTTCGCTGCATGCCTCGAATACGCTATACGTCACTGCGCATGGGATTCCAAAGGAATCAAAATCGACGGAAGGTGTTTAAGTCACCTG